TGGCCCCGTCCATTTGCCCCTCAATGCAGTGAAATTGTCCCGTACCCTTAGCAGAAAACAGCCCCAAAGCATAATGTTTCCACCTCCGTGCTTGACTGTAGGGATGGTGTTCTTGGGGTAATTTCTTTCCCTCCAAATACGGCGAGTCAAATTAATGCCAAATAGCTCAATTTTGGTCTCTTCTGACCACAGCACTTTCTCCCAATCCATCTCTGAATTATTTAGATGTTCTTTGGCAAACTTTAAATGGGCCTGTACATGTGCCTTCTTGAGCAGGGGGACCTTGTGGGCACTGCAGGATTTCAGTCCATTGCGGCATAGTGTTACCAATGGTTTGCTTGGTGACTGTGGTCCCAACTGCCTTAAGATCATTAACAAGCTCCTCCCGTGTAGTTCGGGGCTGATCCCTCACCTTTCTCATGATCATCCTTACCCCATGAGGCGAGATCTTGCACGGAGCTCAAGACCGATGCCGATTGATAGTTATTTTGTATTTCTTCCATTTCCGAATAATCGCACCAACAGTTGTCTCCTTCTCACCAAGCTTCTTACTGATGGTCTTGTTGCCCATTCCAGCCTTGTGCAGATCTACAATCTTGTCTCTGACATCCTTTGACAGCTCTTTGGTCTTGCCCGTGGTGGTGGGAGAGGTTGGAATGGAAGATACAGATTGTGTGGACAGATGTCTTATACACCTAACGAGCTGGCATTAGGAGTATCTTCTTAAAGTGGCAGGACTAATCTGTGTTCCACATGGGCACATAACCAGACTGTGGAAGCCAGAATTCTTGCTAGTTGGTAGGGGATCAAATACTTATTTCACTTACTGAAATGCAAATCAATCTCTAACCTTTATATAATGTGTTTTTTCTGAATTTTTTGGTCGGTATTCTGTCTCTGTCGATTAAAATAAACCTACCATAAAAATTACAGACCCTTAATTTCTTTGAAAGTGGGGATATTTAATCAGCAGAGGATCAAATAAATATTTTCCCCATGTATCGTCTGTCTGTCTGTCTATCTATCTATCTACACACTCTCTGATGAGAGCACATCATTTTGTTTCTAAGAAAATCGCTTACATGATGCGTTTAGAAATTCCACACACAATCTCTAACACAGGCAACAACTTTAATACCAAGCATTTCGCGCAATGAAGTTGTGGTGTATTTAACGCCTGCGCACACACGGTCCATAGTGGAGAGAATTGTGAATGGGGGGAGTATTTGGGTGTACAGTCATAAGTCGGACTCCGAGGAGCCAGGAAGTAACTGAGAGCCATGCAGCTCATGAGACGGATAAAGTAGCGCGAGCGAGCGTCTGTTGTCAGCAGTCGGGGATCACACGCGCGAGAGTGAAGAAGAACAACAAGCCAAGTGCAGATTACTGCCAAATCTAGTGCAGTACAACTCACGGACCCCACAAGAGGCGAAATCCGAAGGAGGTTTGACATTTTAAAGAATACAAAGCTCACTGCAACATACTCCATCATTAGAAGAAGAGAAGCAGACGGAAGGAAATAAGAGCGGGGCTTGCGTGTTTCAAAACAACGCTTCACTCTCTTTGCAAGTTTAGACAAATACAATTAACACAATTGATCAAATCGCGATCAAGATGCCTCGGGTGGTCCCGGATCAGAGGAGCAAGTTCGAAAACGAGGAGTTCTTCAGGAAACTCAGTCGCGAGTGCGAGGTGAGCTCGATTCATCCGAGAGACATCTGATAAAGTGGCGGAAACAAAGTTGCACCTCTCGCGTGACATGAAAACAAGCGTGGCATCGCCTCTTTCTTTAACAGCCTCTGTGTAGCGACCGCTAATGCTTTGTGCTGAGAAAAGTTTTCAACCCTCCATTCACGGCAGTTACAAAATTACGTTTTATATATCGCAAGCATGTAACAACACAAATATAGATGTAGCAGACTTAAAAGACGCACCTTTGCACCTCACTTTTGAACTCTAGTACAATAATGAAGGTTTGTTTGCTTTTCATCCGAATTTAAAACAATATCAGACAATTTGCATTGCGCATTTTCAACATATTTTCCGATAGCTTGCAAATATGTTCATTATTCGGCTTTAATCTCAGCAAATTAGTTCACCCCGTGCCACATAGGCTACTAATATTAGGCTAACTGTTTTTAAGGAAATCAAAACCTGTAAGAATAAGTTCATTACATTCTTCTGACCGCTTTGTATTCAAATACGGATGAACTAAAGAAAACATTGACATTTAAACAAAACATATCATAAAACTGAGCATAATGGACGGAAAATCTTGTGACACATTAAATATAGGAACATGAAGATGTTGTTATAATAATGAAAACATTTTTACAGTGCACTCTAATGAAGCTCTTTTATAACCAGACTCTTGTGATTCTTTCATCCCTGTTTACAGATTAAATACACCGGTTTCCGCGATCGGCCACACGAAGAGAGGCAGGCGCGCTTCCAGAACGCGTGCCGTGACGGCCGCTCAGAGATAGTGAGTACACGCAGCTCACAGCACCGGTCACTGACTGCTGACCCCGCATCAGTGCTGGCAACTCAATACTTATGGCATCCGGAACTGTCACGCCGTCACCAGAAACTATGTTCATATACTTCCTTATAGGCTATGTAATGAGCGCCTACAACACTGCAACATTTATGATCCATATCATGTCATACTGACTTGTTGGTATTTATTTCGCTGTATCATTAGGACTACAAATAATGAATCAATCCTTAAACATAAAGTGCCTCTTGGCTTCTTTTAATTATCACCAGAAACGCGTCTCACGGGTGCAGATGAACTCGGACGTGTCTATCTTTAAAAATACCCTGGAACTGCGTGTTATCATAGATTCCCTTCGCCTGTTTCATTTTTTCGCCTATTTTTAAAATTTCGCATTTGTATTGATATTTTTAAAAAACCCAATCAAAAACAGAGTTGCATTAGATTCACTTGTGTCATACCCTTTTCTTTGACTGGTTTGCTAACATGGGGAGGCTTGTTTATCTCTTTGTTTGTATCTCATGTCTTCAGCAGGGCTGTTTCGAGATAGATTTTGCTACCCATAATATTTCTAAGAATAGATGAGACAACTGTTTATTCTTATTAACTTGAATTCAGATTATATTTATTCTGTTCATAATAACATTATAGTCTAGATAGATCAAATAGATTCCACTATTTCTGTTTGATGTCACTTTTTTTATTTAATTCGATTTTTTTTCTGGCAGAATTTCATCGTAAATATCAATTTACAGTTTACTGACCAGTAGCTTAATGGAAAACATTACTAGAGCATTTCTAATATAAAATGCACTCGGACGTGTCTATCTTTAAAATTACCCTGGAACTGCGTGTTATCATAGATTCCCTTCGCCTGTTTCATTTTTTCGCCTATTTTTAAAATTTCGCATTTGTATTGATATTTTTAAAAAACCCAATCAAAAACAGATTTGCATTAGATTCACTTGTGTCATACCCTTTTCTTTGACTGGTTTGCTAACATGGGGAGGCTTGTTTATCTCTTTGTTTGTATCTCATGTCTTCAGCAGGGCTGTTTCGAGATAGATTTTGCTACCCATAATATTTCTAAGAATAGATGAGACAACTGTTTATTCTTATTAACTTGAATTCAGATTATATTTATTCTGTTCATAATAACATTATAGTCTAGATAGATCAAATAGATTCCACTATTTCTGTTTGATGTCACTTTTTTTATTTAATTCGATTTTTTTTCTGGCAGAATTTCATCGTAAATATCAATTTACAGTTTACTGACCAGTAGCTTAATGGAAAACATTACTAGAGCATTTCTAATATAAAATGCAAATAAATAAAAAAATGAGTTCGTTTTGTTTGTATAATTCCTACATGTTTTGTGACTGTGTGCACTTAAGTTCTTTAATCAGTAAGATGTGGTCACATTTGGCCTTATTTGCCCCTAAAGTCAAAAGTAGATGAAATGTTGAGGTTTACTGGCAAACAGGTCTGTTACAAAGCTACAGAGAGTAATTTTCGTCATGCCATTATGCCTTTTGTATGCCCATCGCTATGATGCTATAATATTACTGTTTATGTATGTTTGAGCATATAAGTGAAAGAGAATCAGATGATTAATTTTAATATATTTTTGTACATAAAAAATTAAAATGCAACAGAATTCTGCAAGCCAGTTTGGTATAAAATTATGTATTTATTTATTTTTTGTTGCTCATGCTCTTTGAGAACGTTATTGAATTATTGTACCATAATTCAAAAACCTTTACAGCAGTCCAACTGCTATTAATGTAAGTGAGGGGCTGCATTTAAAACAATTATTGATTTTTAGGTCTGTTACAAAGCTACAGAGAGTAATTTTCGTCATGCCATTATGCCTTTTGTATGCCCATCGCTATGATGCTGAATATTAATATAATTTACAATATTACTGTTTATGTATGTTTGAGCATATAAGTGAAAGAGAATCAGATGATTAATTTTAATATATTTTTGTACATAAAAAATTAAAATGCAACAGAATTCTGCAAGCCAGTTTGGTATAAAATTATGTATTTATTTATTTTTTGTTGCTCATGCTCTTTGAGAACGTTATTGAATTATTGTACCATAATTCAAAAACCTTTACAGCAGTCCAACTGCTATTAATGTAAGTGAGGGGCTGCATTTAAAACAATTATTGATTTTGTACTTCTCTCTGTCTCTGTTATCTCTCTGTCACTCATTCACTCCTGCGTTCTGTCTCCTCTCAAACTCAGTTTGGTGCAGCCCAGTTTGCCAGCAATGAGCGTTGGTAAAATAGAATCAGATGTATGTAACTCAATACCTGAAATAGAGAAAATTATGACTTGGGTTTTTTTTTTCTCTTTGCGTTTGTGCACCACCCAACCTCCCCACATCCCCTCCTCCCTTCTTTTCCTGATGATTTGAGCGCTGGCCTTGGCTCCAGGCATTCTCCTCTTCCCTCTGATGTGAAAACAGAAATGACGAGCTGCATAATTTATGCTCGGGCCTGGCTTTCTTATCCTGTTTGTATTGATTTCCCTCTAAAAGGCTTTTGTGGCGAACGGCACCAACCTCTCGCTGCAGTTCTTCCCAGCCAACCTTCATGGGGATCAGCGGCAGGCACCCAGCCGAGAATATGTGGACTTCGAGCGGGAGACAGGAAAGGTAGTCCTGACACAACATTCCTGCACTCATTTAAGCTCTCAATTGCTCCCCTTATCTCCCTTTTTTTTTTTAAATCAGGTCATAAACATATATGCACACTTTCATACAAATGTATGATAATAGTAACATGCAAGACTTTCATGAAAACGTTTAGTCAGTTTAAAAAAAAGTCACATGCATGATTTATGAAATCTGAAGAATGATTGAAGAAGCCATTTCTGTTTCTCTGTAATCTTTTCCTTCTTTTACGCACAGTAGAGGAAGTGTGTCGCTTTCTCAAACCAGATGTATCCATGGTTTAGATGGGCAAAAGCCTTGATTTTCCATAAAGATATGTTTCTCTCTCACACATCTCAAGGAAAAATTAACCCTTGAAATATTACACTGCAGACAGCAAGAAAAACAGTCTCTCTTGAATGAAACATGGCACAGGTTTCCATTTGATGTTTAAACTTTCAATTTTATTTCTGTAGCAGTATTATTTCAGACACGCTCATCGGTTTTACATTTTTGAATTGGTCTTTCAACAACTACCTCTTGTTTCTGTAGATTTAAGGAATGCATAGCCTCCCTAAACCCATACGAATGTAAAATAAAACCATACTGCACTGCACCATCTTTGTTCCATTTTAAAACCACTATTGAACTACATATTTATTTCTGTTATTCTAGTCAAAGCTGTCCATGCATGTCAGAGGCCTATAACCATAACTTCTCCCCATGTCAGCTTTGTAAGGTCACTTTTAAAAAGCGTGTTCATTTGGAACATTTTGTCAGAAATTCTTTGATTGTTCAAAACGGAACAGTGAAAATTCTGTCTTTATTAACCCTCATTTTGGTCTAAGCCTATACTTGCATTCTTCTGTGAAACACATAAGAAGATATTTTGAAAAATGTCAATGCAATAAATGTCAATGGGGGTCAAAAAAAGAGAGACTTGAGTGTGAGTAAAAGATAACTCAATTTTCATCTTTGGGTGAGCTACCTTTGAGCTCATTTAATCATGTTCAACGTATAGTACACACTTAAAGGTTCTAAAAGGGGGTTTTCATAGTGATTCCAAAGGTGAACCATTTGGGTTCCTTTTTTTTTTCTTAGTGTGAAGAAAATTTTATCTTAATCATATAAAGAACTTTTTTCCACTATAAAGAACCTTTTGTGCAGTGGAAAACTTCCATGGCTGTTAAAGGTTCTTATAAAAAGGAACCATACATGCCAGTGAAGAACCTTAATTTTTAAGAGTGTAAATCAGGTTCTCAGAAATTTTTTTTCTTGTTGTATCTCTTGTGATACTTTACAATGTAAAGAAAGGGAAATACGTAATTGAGACCGTCATGCACTCTGTCAGCCGCACTTGTCCGCAGATGCGGCGATCACTTTCTTAGTGTGTCTGTCACAACTACCAAATGTGATTCAATTCTAATTCAAGCCATCTAACACTTTAAAGACTCTGGTGCCGAGATGTTTACAGTTCATAAAGGCTGATTAGGAAATATGCCGCCAGCATAACAGCTTTATGGATGGTCGCACAAGACCAATTAAAGGAAACGCTTGGGCTGGATTAAATAGCATTTTGCCATAGGTTCTTTTAAGGTCACCCCTGAGACCTTTCCCTTCAAGCCTTTGTGTAGAAGAACGTTAGTGCAAGACATTAGAAAGGCACTTACTGGCTTTGTTTGTGTTTTTACCACGAGCCTCTTGCAAAGCTGCTGGTGTTTCTTACACTGTTGTGGACAAGGAAGCCTCTCTTCACGGACACTGCCTCACTGAGATGCGCTCATTAAAAATGCATCTGTGAGAAATCAATGAACCTTTTGGCCCTGAGGCTGACGGACTAATCTTTGGCTGTTAATTATTTAAAAAGACGTGAAGGATGTGTGCGTCGATCCCCGTGCTGACGGGCGGCTGAGCATGCGTGTTTCTGAGCCCAGGCTCACTGGTAATCCTATCCACCTGTCTGTCACCTCTGCCAGAACTCAGATCCATGCAGCTTTAATGAGCCTCACACCGTCTGCCTTCAAAATACTGCCCACGCGATGCATACCCCTACACTTATCCAGATCCTACCCTACTCACACGCTCATACCAGTGCATTGGGTGATGTTGAATTGTTGCGACTACTTGTTTTGTACTATTTACATTTTGAAAGCAACTTCTCTGCATTTGCAACATTTACTTACTATGCTTGAGATGCAAGGCTTGCAAGATGGGTCATTTTAATGCATTGGACATTTAGTTTCCGTTAAAGTACTTTGTTGGTACCGTGGTACTTTGATGGTATCTGATGGCGATTATCCTGTTCATAGCCTATAATATAATTTACATGGCATGTTAAAGTTCTTTTAAATATTAAGATAGCACTTTACAATAAGGTCCCATTAGTTAACATTAGTTAATGCTTTAGCTAACATCAACTAACAATTTTTACAGCATTTATTAATCTTTGTTAATGTTGAATAAAAATACAATTCTTCATGTTCATGTTCGTGCTCAGAGTGCACTGGAAATTGAACTTTTAAACATTAACCTATTGTATTTAGGTTGATTCTGTGATGTTAGATAGTATTTTTTTTATATATTTTATGTTTGAATAAAATCAATCAATTTAGATGTTACCACATTGAAGCACATTTTAGGTAATTTTGTTCAGTGCATGTCACTACTTACAAAAAAGTACTGTGGTATTACTACCATAGTGTTATTATTATTTGCACAGCATTTATTATTATTTATTTTTTTGCATATTCTGTAGTATTCTTAAAAAATACCCTGGAGTACAATGTAAATGCCATTGTGCATGCATTTTAGTACCATGGTAGATTTTGAAGTACCATAGTATTAGCATGTGATTCCACCACTATTATTATTATTATTATTTTAAAGGAAATTACTGACCTTTATTTGGTTACATCATTGAAAGTATTTTTAAATGATTGATCAGGTAGAAATTGTCTTTACGTTAACACAATGTCACTTATAGTTGTTGAAATAAGTGTCATTTATATCCTCATCTGGACTTGTGTCTTGTGCATCCTAGTCATTGTTTTAAATAAGATATGTGTCACCTGTTTTAGAAGTTTTTGAAAAAAAGCATGAAAATACAATTACCTTAACAAGTGCTCTTGACAGATTTATATTTATGTAACACATTTCAGAGTTGGAGTTTCCTTTCTCTTTTTTTGGAAGGAAATCCTGAATGGACAAACTTTGCTGATAAGGTCTGTCCCCCCTTTCTTTCTTACTTTGTTCCTCCTCACTCACTCACATGCCCTCTGTTTTCCTTTCATCCTTTAATTCTCTGTCTCTTTTTCTCCTCTATACTCACACACACTCAAACGGTGAACGTCTGACATGGTGAATTCCCTCTAGAGCGGTGAGTGTCAGACCGGGAGAGTTCATGCGTGCGCCCCAGCCTCTGCTCCTAATTAAACTGGTTGTTAACCTTTTCCACAAACAGATCCCTCTTAAGAGCTATGGCTTTAATAGACTACTGCTAAAGTATTACCCTAACTGGAAAGCGCTCAGACTTGCAGTTGATCCCAACATGCAAAACCATGTGAGATATGTGCTGCCTGTCATCAGGAATGTGCGATTGCTGTCTGCCTATTGGCTGAGGTGTCCTTACAAGACCGCCGATTGGTTTATTTCTCATGCTGTAAATCAGTCATCAACGTCTCATTTGTTACTCCCAATGTGCACGCTGTGTTTTGCAGCCAGACTCCCAAACTGTAAAAGCAATTTAGAGATAAATGTAGAGTTGTAAAGAATATGTGAAACACAGCTAGGCAAGAGCACCTTAATTATGTGGCTTCACAAGCAGCCGTCTGATGATATGCCTGATAAAAAGAAAAAAATCATTATAATAACTTTGAAATGTGCTACGAGGCAACATTAAAGTTTATGATCTCAGTATTTGGGATTTAGTTAATCGCTCTGCATTTTTATCTGATTCTGGCTGATACAGCAAAGCTGCATAAATAAATGAAAATTGAAACACTAAATGAAAAAAAAACCCCTCTAAAATTGATAGCTGCTATGATACCGATATTTATTGTGCTTCTCAAATTTTTTTTTTTCCATATAGTTTGGTCCTTATGGCTTTCACATTATCATGTAAATGTTTTTCTCCCCTGATGAACTCAAACGTGATGACAGGCTCAATGTTTTCCACCTCTCACCAGAGTCAGGCTCTTTTCCATAATGTTCTCCCTATATAACTCTCACCTTTCTCTCCTCTTCTTTCCTCCTGGTTTGAAAACAGTCGTTGCCAGCAGAAGCTGGGCAGGGCTAGTTTAAACTTGGCCTGTGGCAGGGGACAGTAGTATTATCTGAGTGGGGTGGCGGAGCACCCGCAGCACAGCTTAAGTATAGGCTCCTAGTGTCACTGCAGGCTAATGGGAACCAGCTGTGGAGGAGGTTTAATTTTAGCGGTAGCAAGCACAGCCCCAGGGAGGAGACTTTAACCCTGTCCCCATCCAGAGCTCCTCAGAAGTTCCCTGAGCAAGCAAGCATTCTCTGAGCAACAACCTTGATTTAGGCAGAGTCGGTTATTCCATCAGCCCAAAAGTCTACTGAATAAGTACTTTACTGACTATATGAAAAGGTAAAAATTGGATGCACGTACCCTTAGAAGGCAAATGGGAAGTAAAGGGAATTCAATTTTATATAGGTAGATCATTAACCATGCTTCAGTTAAAAAAAACTTTTTGATCTCCACTTTCGTATTGGTTCATATGAGCAAGGCTCAACACTAAAGTTTAGTCTAGTAGCTTTTGGCTCTCTGTAAATTATATTGTGCCATTTTCCATGCACTACTATTACTAGAGTAAGAAACTCTCTCCCTCCCTCCCTTTCATGCAGCTTCTGTCTCCACCACTTAAACTCAATCTTGTTGAAATGTGATCTCCTCTGAGATGGAGGCTTCAGCTGTAAGGCTTTAAGGAGATCTAATGCTTGGCGCTGTTTCCTCCTCTCCTCCTTCTTTCCACTGTTCATTCGTAGTGCTCATGTGTGGTTTTGACTTTTTTATGCAAAGCAGAAATTAGGTCCGTCTGCTCGGGCTATGCCAGGAGGCTTTGGTTTGTCATTACACTTCGGAAGGGAGAGCAGCAAGAGAGTTAAGCAAGTAAACTGATTGGAAGTGACTCTAACAGCAGCCAGCTTTTGCCCGAGACCCTCCACAGATCACTAGGTGGTGGGCTATCAGAACTCTGAACTACACAGGGTGACAGACGGATCACTTGTGGAATAAAATACAAATAAGCTGTGTCATGCTCGCATTTTAATAAATTTTGGTACTGTGGTAATTTGGTACTGTAAAATGTTTTGATGTCATGGACCCCAAATTTGATCATCAAAAGTAAAAATGTTAAGTTATAACGAGACCACATCACACCAATTTTATGCTCCTTGCTCTGGCTGCCAGTTCAATATCGAATCAACTGCAAAATTCTGTTATTTGTCTATAAAGCTCTTAACAACTTAGCTCCTAGGTATCTCTCCGATTCGCCACTTACAATCCGGCTAGGTCACTTCGATCCCAAGATGGCCATCTTTTGCGAATACCACGGTCTCGCCTGCAACGCAGGGGAGACAGAGCCTTCGCAGTAGCTGGTCCTAAGATGTGGAACAGCCTGCCACTACCTGTCAGAACTGCTTCCACGTTATTCAAATTCAAATCTATGTTAAAAAACGCATCTCTTTTCTTGTGCTTTTAATTCTTTGTAACGTGTATGTGCTTACTTGCTTTTATTCCTATTTATTTATTTTCTTTTCCTTCTGTACAGCACTTTGGCCAACTAAGGTTGAATTGAAATGTGCTTTAGAAAAAAAATTGAATTGAATTGAATTTATATTATAATTTATACTATAAAGATTTATAGTTCAAAAGTATGATATTATTAAGACATATTATTTGACAAATTAAATAATTGGCTTTATATTGCTACTGTACAAAGTGCAAAGCAAAATTATTCAAATAAATAATAAATAAAAGATTTTATATGATTTTTAAGCTTTTTTTTCTTCACCAAAACATTTATTTGTGTTTTTCACAGTAAATGACATTTCAGAACAGTTTTAAGTTTAAAAGCTCACCAAGAACAATAATTATAAAGATAACTATAGCAATAACTATTTTAGCATCCAGACCAATAATATTATTGTCCTTAATGTAAAAAGGCCTTATATAAATATTAAATTTTTATATATTTTTTCTCCCAACTCTGCAGACTCCTTAGAACCCTCTTGTAGCCACCTATAACCCCTTGTATGTGTTAAATTTGAAAACTCTTAACACATAAAAAGTAATCAATTAAAAAAAAAAGTTAAAAAGAATGATTTAGATACGTGTTTGACATGTATGTATTTTTACATTTTCAACATCACATCACCAGCTTTAACAACCTATGCTTTTAGTTTGAAAACAACAGCAATAAATAAAATAACAATAATAATTAACAATAAAATCCATGTTTGTGAGTTTTAACTAGTCAACATATCTGGTGCAAAACAATTACTCAATTAATCAATTACTTAATTAGCTCTGACTCTGAAGGAGTCTGTGATTATATGCTTGTGAGTTTTTGAAAAGCACTGGGAAGAAATTGTTTGTCTATATTCAACATATTTATGTGATAAAAATGCAAAAGTACGTGTGTGTCTCTTATTCGGTGCCAGTGTGAAGGCCCCTCTGTCGGAGCCACACTTGGGGTGTGGTGTTTTTCTCTCCCAGACACCATAAATTTTCAGCATGTCTCTGTGTAAGAATGTTCGCTCGGGGGCAGATAGCACAGGGAAGAATCGAACTAAATGACTCCATTATAAAAGGGGCTGCAGTCTGAGGCCTCACCACAGGAATTGGTGTTTTAATAGTTTTGCGTTTCCAAAACTATTAAGCAAGTTTTCCAAAGTTTGATGCATGCGTGTGTGTGTGTGTATCGAGATGCCGACTCTGACTCACACTCAGTGTGGGTGTACGCTTCATTCTTCACCCCTATTTGTATTATTGTGTGTGTTTGCTTAGGTTTGGTGACTATCCATTAATCTGTATATGCGTGTGTCTGTTTTTCATACATTTTCCTGTGTGTGCAATGTGCATGCTACGCTTAGCAAGCACATCTCCATATTCATGACTAGTCAGTCATGTACCGCGGAACATGCTGTGGAGCTGCATGGCGCCAGTTTGACAGTTAACTCCAAGACCGAACACATAGGGGGAAATGCTCATGGAGCCACGCTCAGCTGCCGACACTCACTGAAGGAAATCAAATGAGGAGCAGACAAAAGCATCTCATATTCCTCTCTCCTTCTGCCATTCAGCTGAGGTGGAGCGTTCTTCATTATTTTGCTAGTTTTCCAATCTTAAATCAGTATTGTGGTCTGATTCACAAACAGATTTTTAAAACTGATAGTTCTGAATCTAAATTCTGGACGAGCCTCCATTTAAAATAACAATAAACGACCTCACATTCTATATTGATGTGGCAAGTTACTACAGCTTTACAACCACAAAAACTTACAGTTATTATAATGAACATTATAATGAACTTTATTATTTGGCTAAAGAATTGTTTATTCCAATAATTAATAATTGTAGCGAATTTAGCTCACATCAGGAAATATGAATAATTAACCATAACTAATTATGATTAATTATTAATATTTTAGATCCACTGTAGATATTTAGCTGACCACTCAGGGTCAACCGTCTTGTCAATTCTAAGAACGTTAATTTCCTGGTTAAAGGAAATAACTTTCTTACTGTACAATTCTATAAGTTTGTAACATAAATCTGCATGATTATTGACTCTTTCTGAGGTGTTAGGTGCATTTCGGGGGAAGGGTCCATAGACCCTCGTAATTGGCCATTTGGTTAGGTGATGGGGAGTTCGATATTATTTGTTAAATATAACAAAAAGTTGTGTGTCTGATTGGTCCAAATGCTACATAATCATACAGTATATTTAACTTTTGAATACTGGTGCTTTTTATCATAGTGCTTTTGCCGCTGATTTATGCTAAGATTTTACTCTAGCACACAGACATTTGTGGCTTCTTGCTTTATTTGAACCACTTCTTTGTAATGATACACTTGGGCTGATTCTCAAAGCTTCTGTTAATGCGATGGGCGACACATTGGAACCATAAACAACACCACATCTAAACAGTTAAATAAGCCAGTTATTCAGAGTTTTCATTTAGACTAAGAATGTAAATATAAAGATGGATATTTCTGAGTGATGACCCGAATGAATCAGTGAATCATTTTTGAAGTGATTCTATGAAATGAATAAATTCACTAGAATGAGAACTTCTCAAATCAATGATTCAGTGTATACTATTTCATCTATTTCCTTGTTCATTTCCAGTTTGAAGCTTTTTAGAACTGTTTTAGGAATTATCCTGCTAGTTAAACTTTGGTTAATCATAACGAGGCTTTTGTGAACTCTGCTCCAAGTTTGTAGCGACATGCAGAATGATAAACAACGGTTTCCGTAAAAATGCAGAGGGCTGCGGTAGAGGCTCATGTTTCCTGCGATCTCAAACGGAAGCTGGTCTGTTCACCGATTGCTTGTCAATGACATCATCAAAGCGTATGTGCTAATTGATTCCTGCTGCTGCCTTCTCACGTACCTCTGATCTGATCCCAGTTTGTTTGAAGTTGGAGGGAAAAATGGCCTCTTTGTGTTTAGCCATGCCACATTCTCTTAAGCAAGATCTTTATGCAAAGCCAATAGTGTAACTCTGAACAGATTGAGAGGAGATGCAGAGAGGGATGTAATCAGAGGGTGGACGCTTTGTCCATCATATTCTTGCCTTGCCCCATAGGGATTCAATTATAGTGCCCAGCTCGGATTTCTCAGGCCCGTCTCTCGGCCTTCCAGTCACACCCTTCTGATTAATAAACTCTGCAGGAAGACTGCACATCATCCTCACGTTATTCTTTCTGTGCCCATTCAGTATGGCCAGGTTCCCTCCCTTTTGCTCACGTATCACACTCACTTTGTTTTTTCATGATGTCTCGTTGTGGACACACTCATTGTAGTGTCTCAACAAGAGCTGCAAAACTTAATATTTTCAATTTTCAACCAAAAAGACAGGACAATTTAACTCCAAAACGTCAAGTTCTAGAGAATCAACTGTAGTTTGCACCACATTTGTGTGCATCTTCATTTGTAATTGTTTGAAACGGCAAGGTTTCTGATGAATTAATGACACAAGAATTTTAAAAGCCAAAGTAACATGCTAATAGCAAATAACTGGTAACACAATATTTGCTTCATATTGTATATGTGTCTACATCCAGAGTTCTGTCACAGCTCATAACTGTCTGATTGTGTGATATATCATAGCTTTTGTCATCTTGAAAGAGGCTAAAGTACTGCCTGGTATAGTTTTTGAGTGACCTTTTCAACTGCTATGTAGATAATTTGTTACTACTGAGTTGTGTGTGGTAGAACTCATCTGCTGAGTTATTCTTTGAACACGGTCATCTCTTTTCCTTCGGAAACATGGAGGTCCGCTCAGAAACCCAGTTCTGCTGTTTTGGTTGGAACGTTGTAAGAAAGTGAGAAGGAGAGAGAGAAAAAGGAAAAAAAAGAGATTTTCCTGTGTCTGGATGTAATGCAAAATTAGTTTTTTTTGTGGTGATAATGCAGACTTCTCCCTGCCATTCCTCTTGCAAAAGATATCCTTTCATAAGTCTATTCAGAATGTGCCATTTTTTCCCCGTTTGGTATTGAGAAAGTTAAGCCGCATTGAGCTAAGATTATCTAGAGCAATGTTTTCCAAAATATATTTATTCATATTGTATGTTAATATTGTGTTTGTATAGCTCTAGAGCAGGGGTTCTCACACTTTTTTGTTAGCCAAACCACTTAGATGCAGAATATTTACATACTGTAAGTACTCCCTGAGATTAAAACTGAGAAGTTAATATTTCAGTAATTTAATAAAAAATTTGCATGTTCACGGTTCTCAGATGTTGGTTAATGGTCATATAACATGCAAGTAATCATTATTATTATAAAAATTAAGACAAACCCTGATGCTTTTATTTTGCACAATATTGGCAAAATGCTGCAAGCTTCTGTCCATAATAATGTTGGAAATTGCAAAAGTATAAATATGTAAATGCACGTTGCTTTCCCAAATGCATGTTAAATTCGCAGCACATGCAGAGATGGAGTTTGCTGAATTTACTATGACCTGAGAAGCTTTGAGACACTGAATACACCGAATCATGAGCTGCTCACATGTGCCACACTTCACTCTGAAACATGCAGCACATACAGTTATTTAATAAAATTGCATACATACATTTAGCAGACGCTTTTATACAAAGTGATTTACAAATGAGGACAATGGAAGCAATCAAATTCAACAAAAGAACAATGATATACAAGTGCTATAACAAGTCTCAGTTCACTTAACAGTACACATAGCAAGGGTTTTTTAAATTATATAATAAATAAAAAGAAAACAGATAGAATAGAAAAAGAATAGATCAAGCTAGTGTTAGAGGTCTTTTTTGCTTTTGTTAATTGTATAATAAATGAAAAGAAAACAGATAGAATACAAAAAGATTAGAAAGCTAGTGTTAGTTTTTTTTT